GGCCCGCTGGGGGGGAGCCGCCTGAGAAGACGCAGCGCGCAGCCCACCCGTGCCTGCTGCGCCAGGCCCCCGGAGGTCGCAGACGGAAGTTCGGCCCTCGCAGGGCCCGTGCTTCGGTCCGCGCCGTGTCCCGCCCGCGGAGGGGGGTCTTCGTGGGCATCCCCGGGCCCGCTGGGGCAGCGCAGGGGGAGCGAAAGGGCCGCCAGGCCAGCACCCCAGCAGAGACACCGCACTCTGCAAGCTCCTGCCTTTGGCCTGCGTCAGCAAAGAGACAGATTCGTGGGTTCTTGATGGAGAGAGGAATTTGCCTTGTTCTGCGCCTGTGGAAGTTGCCTAGCTGGTAACGCGATCTCTGTCGACAGCTGAGTGCTGCTGGGATGCTGTCAGGAGCACGGCTGCTGCTGCGGAGGGGCACGCGGTGGAGAGCAGCCCTCCAAAGGCACCTGGAGCGGGCACTCAGCGGTGCCGGTTGCAGGCAGCAGAGGAGCAGGAATCCAGTACTCCACCTTGCCCAGCAGGGTGAAAAATAACTAAAATTTAGAAAGTAGGAAACGGTTCTTTGCCTTTGAGGGCTGAATCGTGAGGTTGAGATGTTTGTGATTCCTCTGAGAAGACAGACATCTAGAGTGAAAAAGATGCGAATTTTGTGTGACTTGGGAAGACAGAACTTTAAAACCCCTTATAAAACGTTACAAACATGTCAATAAAATCATGGAATCGATCACACGGCGTATTGTGGGCTTCCACAGCCAGCATCACAACATACTTCCAGGTGTAAATTGCACATTTGGCATGTGCGAAGAATGATTTTTCTTTCTACAGACTTTGCAACAGAATCTGAAAATTAGGCTGGCTCCTTCCTGCCACGTATCTTGCAAATAAGTGTGAATTCACTGTCAAAACACTGCTAACAATTCTGCCTTTGAGGTGTGAGTCAAGACAGAGTCCAGCCTGCTCTTCCGTGGCTAAGTGTGCTCAGCAGGGCTAACAGGAGTATCAAACACTCAGAAAATAGTTTAATCAGCAGAGCCAACAGCTGTAATGCTGTGACCCCCCCTGGGGAGCGCAGCAGTAGGACAAGAAGAGCTCACTTTCAGACAGCTGCTTCGCTAAATCGGCTGCCTTTGGCTTCTGCAAGATTCCCACTGGATTTGCTTTGTTGGAAAAGTAGGGGCTTGACTCAGAATATCCAGGTTTGCTATAATTTGTGCTTTGGAGCAAAAAAAGGGTTTTTGGCTGAATAGATTGCTTCGTCTCGACTCCAAGTGCATGAAGCTTGTTGAGTTTACCTCCTTTTGGCAGAACGATCACTGTAGTTTTCCCCTGACAAGGTCTTAAAGCCCATTTTGGCCAGGGGGTCCAGGAGGGCACAACCTGATGCCGCAGGGTGACTCTGCACGGGGTGGGTTGCTGCCGGCGGGCGATGGCTGCGGAGATGCAGTTGTACTGTACCTCAGCGGAGGGCCGAGTGCTGCCGTGGCTGCCAGCATCTCCCACTGCTCTGGAGGAGCTCAACATGGGCGAGGAGAGAGTCACCAATCTCATTAGGCGCCTGGGTGCTGTTGACATTTAAGTGATTAAAAACAACCAAAAAGTGGATCAGACTGCTGGAATCCAGGAAAGTCACCTGAGGCCTGAAGGCTGCTGGTATAGCACTACTGACACCGCTAGCTTTTGCATCAAGTCTCTGTGGTTTAGAAGTGCTGAAAAACGAAGACCTCCGAAACCCACGAAACATTTTGTATTTGAGATGAACCAGGCATGTGACCCCTCCTGCACCTCTCACTTTGTGCAGGCAGTAACATTCCTACTAATGGACAAGAAAGCTTTAATGCAGGCCCTTTGTCGTTAGCCTGCACTTCGCTGGGAAGAAGAAGGACAGAGGACCCTTTGCACATTGCCACTGAGTCAAGATCAAGGCTAGGAGAGTGCTGCTGCCACTACATAATTAGGAGGGGCAGCACGCCAGGAGGTGGAGAGGGCAAGACTGTAACTGCCCTTTCCAACTGCAGCAAGCACTGTGCTGGTTAAGCTGTGGAGTGAAACCATGGTGCAAGAGGTGGGTGAGGTAGTAATTAGCAGGTGGATAGCAGAAACTTTCTGACCGAAATAAAACCGCCCTGCTGCTGGTGCTTGGGGCTCAAAGCACACCTACATTTGACATAACAGCCCGTAACAGCCTAGCTGCTGCAAGGGCTCCCGCCCTGCAGTGGATAGCCCCTCCACTCCCATGCACACCCCTGCTATGGGCTCCTGCTGCCTCGCCTTCTGTTGGGTCTTGCAACAGGGCAGCTGCTGGGTAAGTCCGTTCATGCCGTCTCTTGAGTGGCTGGCTTTGCAGTGGATCACCTGGCAAACCGAGCTGAGGAAAAGTTCCAAGATATTTGTATCTGATTCTTTTCACTGACAGCAGCTTGTGCTAGAAGGGGTAAATGCAGCAAGGAGCCATATTCTGTACAGGCAGCAATGAGCGCTGACCCAGTACAGACCTGAGCTAGCACAGTTGGCACAGGAGACATTTATGCCAGGGACTGGATTTTAAGTTAACAGAGTCTGAACTATGATTCTACTCCATGACATTTCTTGCTGGGAAAATGCTGGGTTCCAGGACATGGCACACATGCTAAGTAACATTTAAACTGGTGCAAATTACTACTTAAAGACTTATTTATAAAAGATATGTAGGTTAAAATACCTGTGCAATGTACAAGTGGCAGCTGCTGGTAGTCACAGCTCTGCCACCAGTTTCTTCCGGTATCTGCAGTGATGAGGCATTTTTCATAGCTGAGATACAAGGGGAAGTTACAGTGTCAGCACTCATTGCTTAGGCTGACAGGTGCCAGGTGATATTCTGCAATCCATATTTCTTCTTCACTGAGACCCCAACTGTCAAATACCTGTAGGGTAATGAAAATAGCTGGCACTATGGCAGGCACTCGGATCTCCTGCTGGGTGTCTAAAGCTCTTTGAGAGCCCTGCCCATAGTCCACCATGGTAGGACTCCCTAGGGTAAAATTCAGGTAAGCATTATACTTCAATGAACACCAAGAAGAAAAAAGAGAAGCAAGAGATAAATTTCATCACTCATAAACTTGCCCACACTTTATTATATTACTGTCCTGGTTTCAGCACGGGTAGATTATTCTCATACTAAATCCAAAACACAGCAGCTATTGGGAAGAAAATTAACTCTATCCCAGCCAAAACCAGGACAATTACATAAGCTATGCTCCTCCTGTGTGCTACCTGTGGAGATCAGTACTGTCTGCTGAGCTGATGTAGGGGAATCTTCTGTGTATATACCAACGTGATGTCCTATACAAACTCTTCAGGTTCTGGGAAGATACCTTAAAGACCAAGGAACTGATTCACACTCTCCTCTGGGTCCCAAACCATACTTGTTTGAGCCAAGGAAGAGGAAAACCTCCCAATATTTCCAGTGTAAGCCTGGGGATGTTGCTATGCTGCTGAGAAAAAGCATAAATTTTATGCATTTTCATGGTTTAGCAGGCATGGTGGTGTTGGGTTGATGGTTGGACTTGGTGATCTTAGAGGTCTTTTCCAACCCTAATAATTCTATGATTCTATGACAAATATCCAGTTCTTGTTGTAATTTCTTTGGAGCAAAGACTTCAGGAAATGAATCTGTGGGAAATACAGGTTATAAATAGATTTGCAGACCCTGTATCTTGCTGCAGCCAAAATCCCTGCAGAATTCACATGGCTATTGGCAAGATGGGGTGGGAAGGGGATGTGACATGTGCTGGAGAGAAGATGTCTGGTGGGACCTTGCAGCTGGAAGTGAAGGGTGCCAGCATGCAGCAGGCAAATTGACCTTTCTGGGGCACCCAGTGGGTGCTGTGTCCAGACAGCCAGTGGGCAGATTCCCAGGCTGCAGGTCACAAGCTACGTGAGTTTATAAAACCAGGACAAGCATCAGCTTTGTAAAACTGGCTGGGTGAAGAATGCTGACAGCAGGGACACTCTTACAGAGAAACACTCTACTCTCTGTCCTCACCCTCTTCCTGAACTGGAGGTTACATTTTATCAGCCCTCATTAAAAAAAAACAGGGAGGATGAAAGTCTTGTATATGTGAAATCATGAAACAGATGGGATGGGAGAAGAGTACAGCTGAGGTGAGAAGATCCAGAAAGAAAAGGGAAGGTCTTTCCAAACGTGGTCTCCTGAGGCATGGGTGTCCATACACCAGCTTGGAGGTTAGGGGAGAACGCAGCGTGGGAAACCCAGGGCTCTGGCAGCTGGATTTCTCTGCCTTGCGTTACGTCGGGCTCCAGCAGCGCTGGCACTGGTTGCGGCCGTGAAGCGGGCTGCAGCTCCCTCACTGGGACCACACTCACACGAGCTGGTGGGATAAGCCTTGCTCCAGAGGCTCTGACTTCAGCGCTGGAGCACAGATCTGGCAGTGGGCAGGGAGGGGAGGATCTGCTGTCCCACGAGACTTCCCGCCAACAGCAGAGGTCGAAGCTCTGGCCCGTGGAGCCGGTGATCTCTGCCCAGTCTGTGCAGATCTGGTGCGGCTCATGAGATCCTGTTTGGCTGTGTGGGTGGAAGGAAGTGAGGTACTGTGGTTTGGGTGGGAAAACAGTGTTTCAGCAAGGAGAACTGTGCTGTGGAGTGAGACTTGGGGACAGGGAAAGCTATGAATCTGGAGATTTGGCCAGGGTGTTTGGAAAACATCTGCAGCAATTCATCACACAGCCCCTGTGAACACCATGTGCCAGAGTGTCCTGCCGCTGGCTGCTGTGTTAGTCTGCCAGTGGTTTTTTTGAGGTGCTGCAGTAGCAACAGGGTTCCTCACACGTCCCTGTAGAAAATGATGCATTTAACACATGCAGGTCCCCATAAAACCAAGCCAGTAGTTTGTATGCCACATGGGAAGCAGCAGATTAATCCCCTGCCTGGGGAGTGAATGTGTTAAGGATCATCACATTAGCACATCTTCAAAATCCTGAACCCAAGCTGAGGTCTTGGTTCACACCAAATGAAAGCAATGTCTCTTGAAGCTGTCAGATAACTAAAGGATCTTGTCACATTGTTTGTAGAGAGTCCCCATATTGCTAAGATATTTATGGTGCTGTTTTGCCCTTGAGGCTTCTCACCAGCTGATTTACAGTCTGGGAAAATGCAGCCAAATGGAAACCTGAGGGGTCCTTCTTTTGTTTCCCAAGCTTCTCACAGCATGGGTTCTTGTGAAAAGGAGGAGATGGGGTTCCTGCCTGACAAAGAGCACCCACCCACAGACCAGGGCTTCTCCTGCTGCAGGCTCATGCATTGGGGCTCAGGATAGTGTTGGGCAGACTTCTGAAACACCTGCAGTAATTCATCAGAGTTCTCACAAATGCCATGCTCATCCACACCTCCCTGCATGTCATTGCCTCTGGGCTGCTTCATTTCTGATGGCAGGAGAGAGTCCCTCCTGCATGAGCACTGCCGCTTGCAAAGCAGACATTTGCTTCTTTACTCAGTGCGTGCTTCTGTGCTGGAAAGCCTTAAACAGTCCCACTAGAGAGGACTGCCGTGAGATTTGCACAGCCACTTGATGCTCTGAGTGTTTGCACACTGGTAGTTAATTCCCTCGAAAGTGTGGCTCCTGGGGATGGCGGGTGAACTCTGGGCCCATCACCACTGGAGGCTGTGGATGCCAAAGGCTGCATGGGTTGAAAGGAAAACCAAGAAGCTATTAGCAAATCTCATGAGAAAAAACATCAATAGGAACTAAATGCAAAGATGTGAGCTCTGGGGAAAGAGGTCTCTCATCCACCATTTGGCAAGGAAATAACACTGTATGTTGTCTGGTTGCATATTGTGTCCTGTGCTTCTGTTTGCTGCAGGTAGAAACAGGGTACTGGGCTTGGTGTAATCCCTAAGGCTAGCGACCCTGAACTCCCTGTCCGTCATGGAGTAGGCAGCGAGCAGCCTCCAGCCCGTGGTGTTGGTCATACGTTTATGAAGCTTGAATAGGGACAAGAAGGCTATGGGTGGTGGGTACATTGGCTGCACTGGCGACTGTGTTTGGATGTGACCCCGAGCCTCTGATGCTGGCGAGCTCAGGCTCTGGCTGATGCTGAGTTTGAGTCTGAGCCCCATGGAGGATGGAAAGGAGCAAGAGCCAAGGACAAATCCTTTCGTATTTCTCTCAGAGTTGATGGTAAATTGTACAACAAATTTATTTTCTCCTCTTCCATTATAATACTCATGGATAAAGGCTAAAATGCTGCTGACTCTTTGCTTATTAGAGGAAGTTCAAACATGGGGCATATGTACTTTGGAGAGACAAGGCTTCCCAGTCAAACACACTTAGGTTTATTCCCAAATATCTTCCTTCCAGTTGAAGAAAGGAACACCAAACCGTTAACTTTGACAGGGCCTATCTTCTCTCATCTCAAGATGTTTTTGGCCAGGACAGTGAGGCTTGTTTTGCCATAATTGTTTGGGAAGTGTCTGTGCAGTGGGATGGAAGAGAGCACAGCTGGGCTCAGCCCAGCCACCCTACTGCCCCACTGTCTCTGCCAGCTCTGAGGGCATTGGGCTATGGAGCACATAAGGAAAGAGCTTACCATGGCTCCATGCCCCCTCTCTGCCCAGAGCCAGCAACTTGTCAAACTGGGTGATACTGCTGTTTGTGGCTACTGCACAGGCGCCAGGCTGACTGCTGCACGAGGCAATGCCTGCTGTGTGGTGAGCAGGGCCTGGTTTAACTGTGCATGCTCTTGGTTGGGGTGGTCCATGCTCCTGTAGTACAGAAGATTAAAACTGGTGAAAGTCCAAAGGTTTGGAAATCAGTGTGATGCCAGGTACAAAAGAGAAGAGACCTGCCATAAGTGTACAAATAAATCTGCTTCAGCGCTTACTGAAATCAAACATGTACTGAGGAAGAACAGCCTCCAGACACTCCTATATCCATATAAACAGGGGTCCATAGAGCCAGAGTCCACTGGGTTGTTCTGGTAGCAAAGAAAGGACAATAAGCCATGGCTTTATGAATTGCTTTTCCTAATTGCTCTTTTATTATTTCCCCTCTTTAGTTAATAATTAGGAGTTACAGGAGAAGGGAAATGCCATTTCGAAGTCTGTGGTGTGGTGACTGATGCTAGAAGGGATTGCAGTAATATATTTAGATTTTAATAGAGCATTTGATACTGTGTCTTACGTGCAAAACTGAGTAAGACAGGCTATATGTGAAAGCTAATGATAGCAAAGACTGCATCAGGTGGAGGAAGGTATCTAAGTTCCTACAAACGTCACTGTCAGATGAAGATCTGTTCAGACTAACATCAGATTAACATTATCTTCATCTTTGTTGCCAGTCTCAGACAAGATCTTTCATCTCCAGGCCATCACATCATCTATTGCATAGGTAAGAGCACTTGATGAGCTCCATCCCATTCGCAGAAATCACGCTCAGAATCGAGCTTGTTGATTTCCTTTATTCAGTGTCATCTCCCTCTTCTAGAATTCAAAAATTACTGCAAGTCTTCATGCACTGGAAATCTCCTTTTCATTACTCCTAAGCTTGATTTAAGACATCAGACAGAGTTCTTCAAGACACTTTCAGGTAGAAAGACTTCCAAATTCAGCTGTCCATTTTTCATCTTTCTGAGTGCATTCAGCTGAAACTGAGTAAGAATATTTCATATCAAGTGTTTTTGAAATGCTCCAGACATGCAGACACATGCATGTCATCTCTGGAAGGACTTCTGATTTCTATACATATGTCATATTTAGTTTCTTGCTCACATATCTGCTAGGACCGCATCCTTGCGTTCACTGGTGATAGCTGTGCTAGAATAACCTTCCACTTCTCATCCTTGTCAGCAAGGTCGGCATGATCAGACAGCTCCAGCTCTCAGATTTATTCACAAAAGTTCCCATCTGCTGTTTTTTGGATGTCAAAGGAATGTAAATTCTGGTCTTGTATCACCATTTTAATGCCTCATCTCTGGAAAAAATATTAGTGGTGGGCACCTGGAACATCTTGGAAGGGTCGTTGTTTCCATACCATGTCATCTGCCCAAAGCAGTAATTCTCCATGTCTTGGACAGCTTCACACTCCTTTAGTATCTCCACTGAGCGCACTGAGAGACAGAAACTCTGGTCATCATTAGAGGTAGTTATTAGTTCTTAGCAGGGAGTCATACCAGTCTGCAGATGGAAAAGTTGCTTCAGTTCTCCTTTGTACTTTGAAGCAAGTACCGATTAAGAGCCATCAGAGGTGCTGTCTTGCAATCAGTGGCTATAGCTTTTACAAGTAAGTTTTTTGAAGATGGGTCAGCCATAGAGACCCTCTCTTTTAGCATTCTAATTTCCCCAGGCAGTTTGATCATGTTCAACACTCTGGAAGACTGTAGCAACTCTGAACAGTTTTTGTACTGATCATATTAAATCAGATACATCATTCCAGTTAGCATCAATGCATGTGTATTGCACCTGGCTGCAAAAACACAAGGTGAATTTCCTGTGAGTTTGGTATTTATCTTTATTAGGGCTGAACCCAGCCTTGACCTGAATCAGGAAGGGTCTGGTCCAGCTCCTGTGAGGGGAGCGCTGGCATCAGTGCAGAGCCGCTAATGGTGTGGCTGAGGAGGTCTCCAAGGCCCTGCTGCCCCCAGTAGATCAGCCTGTACTTCATCACCTCTGTTTTCATTTTTTTTCTCTAGGTTGAGCTGACAAAGTGCTGGCCTTACAGCAGGGAGTCGTTGAATGGCCATGGCCTCCATTCAAATTCAAAAGCCTCAGATAAGGGGCTAATTCTGACTGTGGCGATGTGGTTTGTCTGGGAAGATGTTTCCCTGACAATTAAATCACTTGGGAAAAGACTGTGCTCTCCTGAAAGCTGGGACAGAGTGTGTAAGGACTGGATGAGAGGTATTACAAACTGGAAACCCTCTTTTTGTTTTCTCTATGATGTCAGGTGTAGTCAGCATTAGCAGGAGCTGAAGGCAAAAGGGAATGGGCCCAAAACCGTGGCTCTTCTCCCAAGGCAGGATGACAGATGTGTGGAGTATTGCATTCAGGTACCTGTTATTTTCTCCAGAAGCTGCCCTCTCTCTATCAGTGGTGTGTTCAGAAACTCTTTCCATGGCCTGGGGCCAGGGTCCATTTGTTCACATGGGGTCTGCTTGCTCATTCTAGTCCTCACACGGCTGGAGAGCTGTTAGTCTGAAGAGTACAGCAGGAGGGCTGTGAAGTGGGACTGGAGAAAGGGGGGGATTAAGCATCTGGGTGTTAGGGGGGGGGGTCATAAGTGAACGGGGAGGGGGGGAAGCAACTTGAACATAACCTGAGAGTCTGCGGCCTGGTAGGAAATTCAGAGTATCAGGACCAAACAACTGCCTGGACTCTGTTGTATTCAAGACTTCCAGGGGATTCAGCAGCTCTTATTCCTCTCATTCCTCCTTCCTCTGAGGCAGAAACCCCCCAAACCATTATCACATTATCAGGACTGCCCCCTTTCTTGGAGCGGTCTGGACTTTCCACCTGGCTGCTGTTGATACAAGACCCCTCCATCCCCACCAGCCGAGTGCCAGACCTCTCCTGGAGCAGGGCCAAGGCTGGGCAGTGTCTGTCAGCATGAGAACCTTCAGTACCCACTGCAGTGAACCAGCTCCATGGAGGGATGGTCCCATAGCCCTGCGAGCCCTCCTGGGGCAGCGCCATGGCCCTGCAAGCCCACGTGCCAGGCTCAGTCAGGCAGCAGGCTGCTGGGAAATGAAGAAAAGTACTTCTGCTTGGGCAGGAGGGACACTGTGTTGGGTTTATGCTGTGTCTGTGCTGCAGATCACGAGATAGCTTAACACTCGTGAGCTGTCACACCTGGCATTTTTCATCAACTTGAACTTGATTTTTTAGAAATTATTGTTAATTATGCTCTCCAACCAGAAAGCATGGCTCTTTGATGAGGGCTTCATAAAGCAAGTACCATCCACTCCTGCATCTTGTGTCAGCTCGTTAGGAGTTACCTTAATTACAAACTGTGCTCATCAGCTGTGCCTGAAGTCCTGGACCTGGACACCTTTGCAGAAGGAGGGGTAAGACAAGGTTTTTATAGCTAGTCTTCAAACCATAGACAGCCAGTTCATATGAAGGAGGCCTTGTAATGAAGGTGCAATCACTGATGAGCAGAAGATAAGGCCCAGTAGCTGTCCCAGAAGTGAAGCAGGTGTATCAAATGGGATCATTTTTTTTTTGTAATCGTCTCATCTGCAACCCCAGGCAGGGGCTGATGGTTTGAAGCATGATAAACAGGAGTGCACATGCACCAGGTTTCTTGGAGCTCTACTGCCAGGGCAGGATTTGGCCTTGTAGGTGCAAAATGTCAGTGTTGAAGTTAGTGTTGTTAGCCTTGTTCACATGCTGTCCGGTGATTTAAAGCATAGCTGGCGTCCTGACCCTGAAAGGGCAGCATACTCCGGAAGACTGTTGTCCATGAAGCTGCCCTGCTATTACAGAATCGTCGCTCTTCATAACCAATATAGAGAACTGGAAAGATAGTCTTTCAGCATTAGTTATAGCTCATTTTTCTGGTAGATCAGTGTTTCACAGCTGATTTAGAGCTGTGTGAAGAGAGGTTAAGAGCCCGTTTGTCTGACTGTGCGTAGAAGCCATCAAAAGCAGGAATAGTGCTATGGGGGAGAAGGATGCTAGTGACACCATGATGTGCCTTTGCAGCAGCCTCTGCTTCCTGCTAAGGCAGAGTGGCCACTGGCAACATTTGATGCAAGAGTCATCACTACTAGAACTCAGTTAAGCCAAAAAGCCCGTTGGCATTTCCTTCTGCTTGTCCTGAGAGCTCTGCATCCGTTGGCTTTCAGGACACCGTGGTTCTGGACCTCCAGACAGGGCAGCTGTGCACTGCTGCCACTCACCTCACGGCCTCCTCCTCGCAGCAACCCCACAGCTGCAGAGAAGCCCGGGGAAGGCTGTTGCCAGAGTCAGTGCAGAAAGGAACGGCG